GCCGAGCCCAGACATGCTTCTAATTCTTTGTGTGGAGTGCTTGGCGGGGCCCAATCCTGGATAAAGTCAGTTATAGACGAAGAGCAAACCTTTCCCGCTAAATGTATCGTAGCAGTTTAGTGCTCATACACCAAATGAGGAAAACATTAGAATGTCTTTTGTTAAAAGAAGACTTTTTCCTTGCACTGGAGAACCATCCTCAGGACAGTTAACAAAGAAATGTCAAATGAGCCACTCCTGCCACTGCCATATGCAGGAGGGCTGATGCCTGCTGCAGGGGTGGGTGGCTGAAGTTCGGCCTGGCTGAAATTCTGAAAGGGGCTTGTTCCATCTAGATCTGTTGCTGTGTGAGGCCTTCTGCTGCAGGGACAGTGCCTTGTGTCAATTGGGTCGGGAATACCCAGGACGCTCAGCAGTGCTATTTTCTTGCCTACTTGGAACAAACACACAGGTCAGGCCTTGAACTCCTAAGGAAACATGGTCTTTGAGTAGAGTCAACTTTGAGTCAGCAGAAACTTCTCTGGGTGACTTCAGTCTCTGGGGAGAGCTGGGAAAATGTATGTGCATTTGTGAATGTGTGTAAGTACTACCCTAGTTACCACAAAATTGCTTTTTGTAGTAGATACCACTTTAATGTATGGAACTAGTAACACATACAGCCACTTGGATGAATCTCCAAGTAATTATGTGGAATTAAAGAAGATAGAAAAAAAGTAGATAGTGTATGATTCCATTTATATAAAATTCTAGAAAATGTAAACTAATTTATGATGATAGAGAACAGATCAACGATTGCTTTAAGAATAAGAAGGGAGAAAGACAGATTGAAAGAGGCATGAGTGGATGTTTGGGGGTGACAAAGGTGTGCCCCCAGTCTTGAGGGGGTGGCTTCATGGGTGTAGCGCATGTCAGACGTGTCACTGCTGCCACTATAGACATGCACAGCTTATTGTAGATACTGTAGTCGGACCTCAGGAAAGCCATTCAGAAGTAAGAAAGTTGAGGGAGTGTGTCAGGCTCGAACTTGTGGAGTTAGATGCCGATGTGCCTGTGTGCCTCAGTTTCCTTAGCTGTAAAAGGAGATAATGTTGCCTTCCGAAGATTGCCACGTAGATAGAACACACAAAGTGATGTACAGATGAAAAGTACTCATCTTGGTGCATGGCAAAGATCATATTTATGATCTAATTTTAAAAATGGGCTGCAAAATTGTATGCTTAGAACCATTAAAAGGGTTTTAAACTTGCTGTCAGCACTGCATTAGCTACATCCCATATGTTTTGACATGTTACATTGTCATTTAGTTCCATGTACTTTTAATATTTCCTTTGAGGTTATTGAGAAGTGTGTCATTTAATTTCCAAGCATTTGGAGATTTTCCTGTTGTCTTTTGTGTTATTGTTCTAGTTTTATTCCTTTATGGCTACAAAACTGTGTGTGATTTCATTATGGTTACGGTGGGGTGTGTTTTGTGGATGTTTGAGATAAAACATTATTTGGTGGAGTGTTCTGCATATACCATTTAGATCCTATTGGTTGCTGGTGTTGAGTTTTGTATCCTTGCTGATTTTCTATCTAGTAGTTCCTTCATTTATCACGAGTGAACTATTAAAGTCTCCAGCTATAGTTGTGGATTTGTCTATTTATCCTTTAGCTCTATCAGTTTTTTCTTTATATATTTTGAGGCTCTGTTGTTTGGTGCATACATATTTAGGATTATTAGGTCTTTCTGATAGATTGAAATTTTTTTCTTTATGTAATGTCTCTGTTTGTCTCCAGTAACTTTTTTTCCTTCTGAAGTTTACTTCATCTGGTATTAATATAGTCACATTTGCTTTCTTTTGTGTTTTTATGACTAATGTTCTCCATCAACATTAGGAGGGGGAGAGGAGGAAGGAAGTAGAACACCAACTGGCCCCTCCTCTAACACCTCACTTCACCCCATGGATGCCAGGCAGGGGCAGAGTGGAGTACAGCTCCCCACTGGACCCTGCTGCAGCTAGATGAGGAGGAGTCAGAGTGTGGACTGTCCTTCCTTGAACCACCTCCTTCTGCCTTGTGGATGGCAGGTGGGGTCAAGGCTTAGCTCCCACTGAATCCCACTGACACCACGCTGGTGGGACAGTCACAGCACCTTCCGCTGCCATGGGTAGAGGATGGGGGCGGGCAGCTCCCTGCTCAGCTCCACCAGCACCACATGGTACCTAGTGGGGGAGCAGGAGTGTGCCACCTGCTTTTGTGGGGCAAGCAATGGGGTGGAAGATCAGCTTCCAGGGCAGCCCTGATGAAACTGTGGGGTGTGGTTTGTCCATGGTGTCTGAATTAAGTAGAGCAAGTGACTTTTCTGTTGTTAAGTCACTGTGAAGTTAGAGAATGGTTTCCAAGACCCTTTTCACTTGTGACACTAATAGCAGGTGTAGGCATCCCCAAGACCACCCTTCAGTTTGATGATTCCCTAGAAGAATCACACAACTCACTGAAAGCTTTTATATTCATGGTTATTGTTTATTACAGGGAAGGGAGACAGATTAAAATCAGCCAAGAGAAGAATTGCAGAGGGCAGAGTCTGGGAAGGCTCCAAAGGGAGCGGTGAGTGTCACTGTTTGTGGAATGCTGCTGCTGAGTCTTGGTTTTCAGAGTCTCTATTGGGGCCTCTTCCATGTGGACATGCTGACTCTACCCCCAGGCCCTCTGGGAGTTGAGCTGATACTCCATGGCCCAAAGGCCCCATCATAAATCACACTGTTGACTCTTAGGTGGCACTCAGTGCCCACAAGAAGACAAAGATACTCTGATCAGGCAGGGCATTCAGGGGCTTAGAGGTAGACTCCCAGAAACCAAGGGCCAAGGCCAGACCCTTCTTTGGGCACGTCAGAGTCTTTACTACACAGCCACCCTGCCCTGCTGGCCCCTTGGCCAGGGAAGCAGGCTATTCCTGGAGATGCTTCCATCTGTGCCTGTTGATGGTTGAGGGTCAGAGCTTCTATAGCCCTGTCCTGTGTATATGGGAGACAAGGAACACAGAGAGCTCAACCCTGGTCACTCCTTGAGCCTCCACGAGCCCAGCCTGTCTGCAGCCTTCTTTCCACCTTCCAAAGTCTTCCTGAAGTTTGTTATTACACCCATAGTTTAAAGTTGTAGGAGGGAGGAGCTGGGAGGAGTGGGCTCCTTTGTCTTGATGGAAGTAGGGCACTGCAGGCACCGATGTGGTCATCTCACCTCAGAACCCACAGCTTAGTCAGTGTTCACCATCTCCACAGGTGACCTGAGACAGTATCTTGTTTCCTGTGATGTTCCTGGCACTGTGCTCAATGTTTGTCACATAGGCTTAGACAGGTGTGGAGGACTCTGCACTGCCAACCTTGACAATGACCAGGGGCCCTCAGCCTTTATTGGAAGTTTAAATAGCTATACATCTGTCATCATCTGGCCTACGTTTCTCTTACTGGCCCATCTGCCTGTAGCATGGGGACCCACAGGCTTTCAGGAGCTGTCACCTGGAACTGCCTATTCTGTTGCTAGAGATAAGGCAGCTGTCCCTGTTTTCTGCTATGGGACTGCTACTGGTGGGTGCCCCCAAGGATGCTTATGGGGCTCTTGCGCCTGGAGAGTGTTCATGCAGACCCACCCCAGCAGCCAGGCAGGGGTGTCCACTCACCACATACAGTCTCCCTTTCCACTGGAGGGCGTAGACCTCCTCATAGCCAGGTGCAGGGCTGGGCTCTCACCTGTTTGTTTGGTCTGAGTGTACATAGGAGAGAGTATCAGGGCTGGGCTGTCTTCAGCATCTCTGTAACCTTGAGCTTTAGTCTCCTTGTTAGTGTTTCCCCATTACTACTCTTTGGGAGTGTCTGTGCCTTGGGGTGCCTGGCCTCTGCCACACTGCCCCCTCTCTTTCAGTGTGCTCGGGGATCTCACTTCCCTCTTGTGCTTTGGGCCTTCTGAGCAGCGCTGATCATGTTGCACCAAGAGGCAGAGCCATTAACCAGGTGCCAGACAGGGGAGGTCAGGGCTGGCTGATGGAGTGGGGTGTGAGGGAGGAGATGCTTTCTGGGTCTCAGTCTTTAATTTAGTCCGTTGCTCTCCCTCCAGGTTCCTCCAAGGCAATGTCCCTTCTCTCCAGGAAGCTGCAGTGAGCAGACCCTCTGGGGCCCCAGCAGGGCCAGCTGGGGAGCATGGCCAAGCCCCGGCTCTTCCGGGTGTGGCTGGCTCTGGGGTCCGTCCTCATGATCCTGCTCATCATCGTGTACTGGGACAATGTGGGAACCGCCCACTTCTACTTGCACACGTCCTTCTCCAGGCCGCACCCTCTGGGGTCCCTTCCCACCCCCAGGCAGGGGGAGGAGCTGGAGGTGGCGGCTGATGCGGAAGTGGACGAGTTTCTGGATAAGCTGCTCAGTTCTGGTGTGAAGCAGAGCGACCTTTCCAGAAGGAAAACAGAGGAGCAGCCGCCTATGCCAGCCTCCAGCCGGCCTGCGCTGAGCCGTCAGGAGGAGAGCGTGAGGGGCTATGACTGGTCCCCGCACGACTCCCGGCAGAGCCCAGACCAAGGCCAGCAGCAGGCCGAGCGCAGGCGCGTTCTGCGGGCCTCCTGTGCCAACGCCAGCCTGGCCTTCCCTACGAAGGAGCGCACTTTCGACGACATCCCCAACTACGAACTGAACCACCTCATTGTGGACGACCGCCATGGTGTCATCTACTGCTACGTGCCCAAGGTGGCCTGCACCAACTGGAAGCGCGTGATGATCGTGCTGAGCGAGAGCCTGCTAGACCGGGGCGCGCCCTACCGCGACCCCCTGGACATCCCGCGGGAGCACGTGCACAACTCCAGCACCCACCTGACATTCAACAAGTTCTGGCGCCGCTACGGCAAGTTCTCCCGCCACCTCATGAAGATCAAGCTGAAGAAGTATACCAAGTTCCTGTTCGTGCGCGACCCCTTCGTGCGCCTCATCTCTGCCTTCCGCAGCAAGTTCGAACTGGAGAACGAGGAATTCTACCGCAAGTTCGCTGTACCCATGCTGCGGCTATATGCCAACCACACCAGCCTGCCGGCCTCGGTCAGCGAGGCCTTCAGCGCCGGCCTCAGGGTGTCCTTCGCCAACTTCATCCAGTACCTGCTGGACCCACACACCGAGAGGCTGGCGCCCTTCAATGAGCACTGGCGGCAGGTGTACCGCCTCTGCCACCCATGCCAGATTGACTATGATTTTGTGGGCAAGCTGGAGACGCTGGACGAGGACGCCTCCCAGCTCCTGCGGCTCCTCCGGGTAGACAGGCGCCTGCACTTCCCACCCAGCTACCGGAACAGAACTGCCAGTAGCTGGGAGGAGGACTGGTTTTCCAAGATCCCTCTGGCCTGGCGACAGCAGCTGTACAAACTCTACGAGGCTGACTTTGTTCTCTTTGGCTACCCCAAGCCTGAGAATCTCCTCCAAGACTGAGCGTGCGACTTCACGTCCCTCTGGGTTTGACCTGCAAAGGTCCCATGTGCCTGTCGGGAGGCACCTAAAAAACCCGGAATCAACCCCACACACACTCCAGTTTTTTACATGACCTACGATTTTGCGATCTGGACATCTTGTTTACTCCACTGCCTCTATTCACTGAGTACTGTGCTGATATTTTTTTTAAGATTAATATATTTCAGATATTTAATATGAAACGTGGGAGGAATCTCTGGAGTAAAGTGTCCCTGCTGCCCTGTGTGCTCTCTCATGGTCATTCTGGTTGAGTGACACCTGCTGTGGGGAGGGTCTGGCCTTAAGGGTCATCCAGGGAAGGGAGGAGCCTGTGTTTTTACAAGGGTAACAGATAAATCCTTCAAAAGTGAAAGTTCTTCTATTAAGTGATGTATTAGAAAAGGTAAAGTTGTCAAATTTTCAGGGCTTTCTATGTGAGACCAAGTCCGAGGTAAGCTGGACTATGCAGTTGAGGCTACAGAAGCAGGATTTCCAACCCAGCGGTTCTGTCAGTGTCTCATTTGAGTTGTGGCCATTAAGGTTTGCGGTTAGCAGGAACGTTGTGGATAAGCATCTGTCCCTGGAGGATGTTGTTGGGCAATGACATCCGGCATCTCTGAGAGGCTCCTCGGTGACCCTGAGGCTGGCTGGGGGGGTTGGCTCAGTGTCTTTGCCCTCAGGGACATGGCTGACTCCTCAGGTTTGATGGGCCCGACTTGGGGAAAGTGTCATGCTGGTGCAGGAAGGTGCCAAAGAAGGCTCTTTAAATATCTGCTTCAAATTCCTTTGTAGTTTAGGCTTTTGACCTATAGTCGATAAGACAGTGGCAGTCATTTTGTGGTGGTGGGCATCATGCTTGGCCTCATCTTCTTTGTCTGCAGTGTTTGGTCACCACTGCCCAGTCCCTAAACAGTGGACTGAATGGCGCCCAGTCAAGACATCCTCAAACCACATTTTCTATGTGGAGTGTCTTTGTTTCTCAGGCTCCAGGAGAAGCCTGAGGTCTCTGAATGGTCATCCAGCTGGGTCTCCATAGTGTTAGGAACAGCCACCTGCCTATTTTTTTTTTTTTTTAAAGAGACAGGGTCTTGCTCTATCAACTAAGCTGGAGTGCAGCATCATCATAGCTCACTGCAGTGTCAAATTCCTGGCCTCAAGTGTCCTCCTGCCTCATCCTCCTGAGTAGCTGAGACTACAGATGTCCATGTCTGACCATGTATTTTGTACAGATGGGGGCTTCACTTTTTCTCAGGCTGGTTTGGAACTCTTGAACTCTATCAACCTCCTAGAGTTGCTGGGATTGTAGACAGGAAATGTGCCACCTTGCCTGGCCACCCCCTTCCTTTTTTTTTTTATTGTTGGAGATTCATTGAGGGTACACAGAACCAGGTTACACTGATTACTTTTGTTGGATAAGGACCCCCCACCACCTTCCTTTTTGAAGTTTCCCTTTCTTTTAAATAGTTAATAGCAAAGATATTCACACTTGAAAAGTCCAGTGTTACATAATTTCTGAAGAGCCATCCTCACTTTGACATCTGTTGGGTCCCTTTTTCATTTAGCAATTGTCTCTGGTGCCAGGGATGCTGCATTGTGTGGCTGTTGCTTGTCACCACCTGGACAAGGTGGCTGTGCCATGGAGGATCTCTGCAGTCTCAAGTTGTAAGACAAGGCAGAAAGCCTCTGATCAGGGCCAGTGAAGTAGAACACCCTCAAGATGGTGTTCAGAGTGAGCAGCTCCTGAAAGGTAGACTTTGGGCTGGACCAGCAGGAGAGGTGAGACTCAGACCTCTGAGGTAGAGTGTGTGACATCAGCAGAACTTGGGGTATGTTTGTAAAGATGGATGGTAACTGCGATTTGTGTCGGCATTTCAGCTCCACTCTGAAATCTGTGTCATTAGTGTCCTTTTCTCTGGTGGGGGCCCTGGATAGAGAGATGAGGTATAGCGAGGAACTGTGTCCAGGTCTGACTCCAGAGCCTGTGCACCTGACCACCTCCCTTGGGGATGGAGATGTGGTGGGCCTTGTGAGGGGAGAAGCAGAGAGTGTAGAGTCTGTGGCCTCTTCCCTGACCAGCAGGCCTGGGAGTTGAGATTTCACTTAGCAGGCAGCAGCGAGCTGCTTGTGAGACTTGCATAGCATGACATGGTGCCAGCCATGTGCACATACCTGCCAGATTCTTGGGTCTGGTCGGGGCCACCACACTTGGGCCAAGATGTACTGGCAGAGAAAGTTTGATGCCAGGGAAAGACGGCTCCAGGAGGGGGAGGTTTCAAGGGCAGAACTCGCTTCCTCTGACTCTGTGCCATTTCCCTGGTCCATGGTATCATATCTTGTAGAGGAATTTGGCTGATTTTTTTTTCTGCTAAAACAAACTATACATATTTTAAAATTTGGTATCGTATAATCAGAAAATTCTACAAACTTAAAATTTCTTCAGTCTATTCTCCTCTGCCCTCCAGCTGTGGGGGTCTATGCTCTCATGCAGACAGCCATGCATCCTGGCTAGCTGACATGTGACAGGTCATGGGTCTCTTTCCCATTTGCCTGGTGCCTGGTGCCATGCTGGCCTGCCATGGGCACTTGGTGATTATTCATAAATCAATGAATGAACGATGCCATCCAAGCCCCAATCCAGCCTGTGAGCAAGGAAGGATCTGTCCTTTTCTCCGAATATTCATCATGGTGTTGGGGGCTTGGGAGGTCTAGGGACTGCCCTAAGGGCGTAGGACTTGGGATATGTTCCCTCTGACCTTTTTAAGCACCACATTATGGGGCTTATAAGGTAACTGCTGTCCTTCTCAGGGAGCTGTAATGATAATGTATCTTTTTGTTCCCCTCCTATATTCTTTTCACTTTTCACGGACACCTTCCCTTCTCCCAGAGGCAATAGGGACTGCTGTGTTCTGTGTCCCCTCCCACAGATTTGCCAGGAGGGACCCTTCCATCAGGGTCTGGGTGGCCATGTCTCTTCTCTTCCTTGTCTCCCATACCCAAGCGAGTGGCTGTGAGGGCTCCAGCAGGAGTGGAGAGTGAATGCAGGGTGGCCTGGCCCTGGCTGGACTGAATTTTGTGGGGACTTCACTCTGGACCAGCAGCACCAGCCTTTTTTGTTCAATGTGGCACCAAGTGTGTCCCTGTGGCAGGACTTTGGGAACAAATTGATGTCCCTAGAGCCTGCTCCTGAAGCATTTCTGGAAGAAAGCCCAGTTTCCTGGTGGAGTTTTCTTGCCTCCATGTGTCCTCACTGCTTGGGTGGGACAGCAGCTCCAGGCAGCGGCATGACACCCCTGGCAGAAAATTTGGGACAATCTGTTCTCATCAGTGGCTCCACCCTGAAGAATAACAGGCTCCCAAATATCACAGAGAGTACAGCCCCCACACCCACCCAGGGATGCAAACACCAGGCTAGGTCTGCTCCCAAGCAGTTATCCAGGGTAATGTTTGCTCATATGTTTGTAAGCCTCACCTTGTCTGCCCACCCACACCCCAACACCTAAAACGAAAAAAGGCGAGACTTGGAAAGCATGACATCATTAATCTAAGAATGTTCAAATGCGTCTCCTAAAGAGAGCTGTGGCATGGAGACTTGGAGGAGACATTCTGTGTTTCAACTGCACACTTGTCCGTCTCTCCCTCCCCCTCCCTCTGCCTCCTTGGAGGCTGACAGGACGCTGCCTGCCAGGCTGGAGGGTGGAAGCATCCAAGTGGTGGCTTCTGTGGTTCATGTGAATGGGACTCTGCCCTGTGGAACCTAGTGCTCTTTGTGGGGAATCTTTGGAAAGGGTTTTAAGGGGATGGAAATCCAGATGCTTGGACTGGCTCTGCCCCTCCCAGAACAGCCCTCCCAAGACCAAGCTCAACTGCTGAGGGAAGTAGGGCTGTGTGATGGCAGCACCAGAAGCCAGGTCCACCTGCACTTCTCAGGTGTGGGGACTAGTGAATCCCACTTGCTTCAGTTAATGTGACTTGGATTTCTACATTTAACATACAAGATCTAAAGATATGAATACACTGCCGTTTGATAAGCAAGGATGATGAAGCATCACTGGTGAAGAGAGAAGCCTCCCCCCCAGGATGGTGCTGATTATTGCTCATGTGGACACCAGGATTTATTAGCATAAGATTTTAAAACATTTTCTTACTCTGCCAAGACCCATTGATGGGGCAAAGATCCCTTACAGGGATACCAGTTCAAACCAGTAGGGAGATTAACTGGAGAATATGGGATTTTTTCCCCATCGGAATAATTTCTTCATGCATCATTGGGAGGGAAGCCAATGCAGAAGTAATACCTGGTTTGAATTCAACTCCACATTTGTCCCGGGTGCCGCTGTTCTGGGCCAAATGTCCTTCTGCAGGCCTATCTGAAGTGAACTCACTTGGCTGTCCTGGTGGCATCAGGAGAGTGTTTGCTCATCATTAACGGTCCCATCATGCTTATCTGGAGAGGGTCGGTTGACTTTCACAGTGATGAATGGACACCACCTGTCTCGTTTCCTTCTGCACTTTAGTCTTGGGTTTAGAAGTACTGATGGGACTCTGGCTGTGAGTGTGTGTGTTTGGAGGGGTGGATTTGAAAATTCTAGCTTAGGAGGCTGGGCATGGTGGCTCACACCTATAATCCTAGCACTTTGGGAGGCTGAGTTGGGTGGATTGCCTAAGCTCAAGAGTTAGAGACCAGCCTGAGCAAGAGTAAGACCTCATCTCTAAAAATAGCTGGGCATTATTGCAGGTGCTTATGGTCCCAGCCTTGGAAGGCTGAGGCAAGAGGATCCCTTGAGCCCAAGAGTTTGAGATTGCTGTGAGCTATGACACTATGGCATTCTACCGAGGGTGCCAAAGTAAGACTCTGTCTTAAAAAAAAAAAAATTCTAGCTCGGGGCTTTGGGGTAGTATTTGACCTGAACTCAGAGAATCCACAAATGCCTCAATGCATTGGGGACAGGGCACACTTAGCCTGGCTTGAGGATGAGTGGCCCTGTCCTAGACTGTGGAGACCAGATAGCGTTCTCAGGTATAGGGGAGGACACAGCACAGGCCCAGTGGTCAGCCAGAGTGCAGAGCAGAGTATCAGGCTGGCTGGTTCATGAACTGACTTTTTATACTTACAGTCACTTTCTCTTTGATGGGAGCACATCTTCACACTAACAGAAAACTTTCCACACACTCGAAACTCTAGAACATCACCACTCAGGAATAAGCTGTCAAA